GAAGGGAAGGGAAGGGAAGGGAAGGGAAGGGAAGGGAAGGGAAGGGAAGGGAAGGGAAGGAGAAAGGGGAAAGAAAGGGGCAAGGCAAGGCAAGGCAAAGCAAAAGCCCTCTGAGAAAGAAGCTCCTTTAGGCAAGAAAATGTTTAAGATGACTGTCACCAAGAGAGGCAGGCGCCAACCTGCAAGATGCATGAAATAGTTCATCTTCAGGACTCACACTCTTGGAATCATACAGTCATTTAGGTTGGAAAAGACCTCAGAGAACACTGAGCCCAACCATCAGCCTGGCACAGTCCCATCCCTACGCTGTTAATGCCACGTCCACGCATCTCTTAAATACCTCCAGAGACACAGACTGCAGCCCTTCCATATCTGCCTCCATGCTGAAGCAACACAGCAGAATTCCCTTCCACTCTGCAGCTGCTCCCAGCTAAGAGCTTTGGAGATTGATGAAATATCAGAGTGAAACACAGATAGAAACAATTTACTGCAAGTCTGCTGCACTTACAGAGTCAGTAGATATTAACCCTTGGAGATGACCCATCAGAGATTTCATTTTTAATTGGACTTGTGTTATCTTCCCCTTCTTTAGAATGGAGAAAGAAAAAAAGAAAGGGTTGAAGAGCTTTTTTTCATCCCCTTATTTCTTCCTTATTACAGAGGCTATTTCTCCATCTTGCTAAGAAGGATTAAACGCCATCGGAAAACATCTTTGGCAAGGAGCAGTGAACAGGAAAGTTGAAGAGTTTTTCCTTGGGTTAATATAAGAGCTGCTGTGAGACCATCCAGGCATGCAAAGGGGAAAGAACATGTTGCAGATTCGCTGTGCAATCCTGCCAGATGCTGGGAAACTGGGGAGGTAGAAGCTATAAAAACAAACTCAGGTGTTTCACTGCTTACTGCTGCAAAATCTGGAGCTGCTTCACAGTGAAACACAAATAGTACAAGGACACAATGGGAATTTGCCACTGACTGCAGCTTGGCTGAGAATGGGAAAGAGAGAGGATTCTTACAAGAGAATGAAACAGGAAGAGAGGAATAAAGGTATTCTGCAAAGGCAGAAAAACAATTGAGTGTATGCATTTATGCTTTGCTCCAAACAAAGCAAGACAAATGAAAACAATCAAATCCTCACCCCCTAAACAGTATTTCTCCCAACCCCCCTCCCCTCCCCCAGTTTCCTGATGGCTTGCTTAGAAAAGATGAAGACATCGATGATTTAGGAGTGAGCATAAAACTACAGACTCCTTGTGCCCTGCGTTGGCCCAGAGGGCAGCTGCTGACATTCCCAGGGAACGTTTTCCCTGCCTCAATCAGTTCAGCACCTGATAGGGCACATCAGATTTACATTTCCCAAATCCAAAAAGAGACATTAAGATTTGTGAGAAAGCAAAGCCCAGCTTTTGTCGGGCCTCTCGTGCATATATTTAGGGGAAAAAAAACCAGAGAAAATCAAAATGTGGTGGTTTCCAACATCTGAGTAAGATGGAAAGCCAGTGCTGAGAGCAGTAATTGCCCAGGGATATCCTTCCCAAGGGCAATCTATGACAGCTCAAATTCTTCTTGGGTGCTTCCTTCTGCATAAGAAGGGCTTAAGAACGTTGCTCATCCCAAATCCAAGCACAAATCTTGGGCACTTTGGTGATGGATATCAGCCAAGCTCAAAACCCCATCCTTCAGCAGCCCTTGAGCTGCTCAACATCACAGCTGAGGTTAAAGTTTGATCCTAAGGGAGGCCACATTTTTTGAACAATTGACCAAAACCCAAAACTGCACTCAGATGTGGATTTGGGTCCCAACCTTCTCAATGGCTTGCTGCAAGCTTTCCATTAAGGTGGTTTGCGGCCCTTTTTGAGACTAGAATAAGTGTATAGTGAAACACAACAAATGCCCAATGGCCAGAGACAAGACGTGCTCACAGGTTTACCCGAAGCTCAAGGCACCATCACCCTTCCATGTCAACAGAGCTCTCCTCAGACTGGCAATTCAAGGACAATATTCTCATCCTGGCTTTCCATTGGCAGTTGCCAGGGTTGAAGCTGTTTCTGAGCTGACAGCTCCTGGCAATGCAGACGGCCATTTCTAACTTAATTCCCTCCAAAACTTGACAGCATCAAATCCAATTTATATTTAAAACCTAGAAGTCGCAAGCAGATGGGAAGAAAAGTTCTTTATCTGAAGAGCATTTAAGGGGATGCCAGAAAAACCACAACGCTCGCTCAAAAGCACTTGATATTCATCAAGGCTCAGCAATCCTTACTGCCATCACTGGTTTGTCTCCCTGTCTTTCCTAATTAAGAGCACCACGTTGGTAGCTTAATGGATAACGCAACAGGCAGCTCCTGTAATGGGCTCTTGACATCCTGCAAGGCAGATGGAAGCGGTCGCCTCTTTCATGGTGCTTTCTCACCCCATTCCTGTGCCTGTTGTGTTTCCTGCTGGTAGCACAGCAGAGGTTCCATTCTCATCTGCACACTGCAGAGATGGCACTCGATAAATGTGAAGCATTACAGCTGGGACTGGGCAAACTGCTTCCCCACCTCAATTTTTTCATTTGGATCAAGAATGGATCAAGGAGTTCAAGAAACATTTAGATGCTGCACTAAGGGACGTGGTCCAGTGGGGAAATATTGGTGGTAGGTGGGTTGTTGGACTGAATGATCTTGTAGGTCTCTTCCAACCTTGGTGATTCGGTGATTCTATGATCATCTGAGACATCCAGGACAGTCAGTCCTTTGAAAAAGTAACTCAGTGTGGCACATATTTCCCAAATAGCTTCTACTTTACTGAGCCACTATTCTATACATCACTGCAAGTGGAAGCCCAGGAAAAATACATAATCATTTCACCCTCAGTTACATAAAACCCCATATCCAGAAAGCACCAACCACCAAGTACCTTCAGTGGCAAACCCAACTCGTACCCAAGGAGTTAAAGAGAAAGCTTTCATATGTGAGCCTTGAAGGAAGTGAATATTACTACTACTAATAATAAAAGACTTAATCAACACCAAATTACTACAGTTCTGTTAAAGATTATTGTGGAAAGAGCTAAGAGATATTCACATCTTTGCAAGCACAGTGCAAACAACAGTTCTCCATAGGAGAAATCCCCACTGCAACTAAAGATTTCTCTCCATACCCAGCATTTGTGATGGAGAGCTTAATTACCTGTGCTGGAAAGCTGCCTGGATTCTCAGGCATTGGTAATGGCCAATGATTTAAACACAGATTTCATGATGCATGGAAATAGCTGCTGAATTTATGATTATGGTTTATTTTGGTTGATATTTACGCACTGTTTGAAGAGAGATGTAGAAACAAATGCAACATGATTTTTGGTATCATATACACGTCTTGCTTTCAGGTGCTATTACTTGAACATTAATTAAATGTGGGAGTGTGCTATGAGACAGCCAGCACCACAGCAGTAAATTAGTAATTTTGCTAAGGTTGCTCTAGAAAGTGCTGTGACATTCCCACTCAAGACACACATCTCAGATACAAATGCAGCAGGGGGAACTACCTAAAAACAAATCATCTTCCTCCCCCAGAACAGAGAAAGAAGCCAAGAGGGTGCTGACCTGACCCACCTGGGTCCTACCTACCTGGGGAAGCAGCAGGGAGCAAACAATGCTCAAAGTGGACTCAAAGTTATCTTTCAGCCACAGCCCCACGGCGTGGATGCAGCCTCGCACGTGGATGACATCGAGCAGCTCCAGGCGCTGGAGGAAGGTCGAAAAGAAGCACCAAAGTCAGAATTGAGGTTGTGGGTTTGGATGGGTTCGTTCTGTTCTGCAAAGGAGCGCCATGGCAAGTGTTTGGGAATCCCTTTCTTAGATTGGACTTCTTTTCCCCGGGTTTTCTTGCCAAAAACCAGTCCCTCTACAGTCACAGTCCACACTGCATCTCTCCGCTGTGACACAGTCCTACAGCCACCCCTGGGGGCCTCACAATCAGTTCTACACCAAAACCAAAACCCATGGCCAGCGTTTGCTAGGACTGACCAAAGAGAGCTCATTTCTCCCCAGAAGGCCCCACCAAAGCCTGCACACAGCGCCCAAACGTGCTGCATGCTCACACCCTTGGAGCCCATGCAGGACCTTGGGATGCTAAACAAGATAAATAAAAATAAATTTATATACAGCCGCAGCAACAGCTGTCCCCATTGGGAAGAGCCTTCCACTGTGAGGCAGAGCTTCAGGTCATGTTAGGGGTGCTGTGGGAAGAGCTTCCCAAGGGTTTCTTGTACAGAAGAAGGAAAAAGCAAAGATCACCTCTTTCTCGAGTGTCCTGTAGCCGCACAGGGTGTTAATGACTTCTCCAGGGACCTGCAAACAGAGATGGAAACTTGGGCCGGAGGAAACCAAAGGCAACAGATAGGAAATAAGCAAATGATTTTCTTGAACTACTTTCTCCTTTGGTTTCTGCCATTTCAGAAGATGCTCCTCATCTCCTGTCCAGTGATTTGAGCTGGGACCACCTCCATGTTACGTGAGCACTGAACAAAGCAGCTCTGTAAGACGTTCCCTTCATTTTCCCCTTGCTTAATTCAAACCTCTTTTTCTCACATTTTTAGCTGCGCCTCTCCTTCATAACAAAGGGAATTTCACCAGGATTAAACATATTTGGTTTTCCAGAAATCAAAAAGGAATTTCCCTAAAGCCTCCCAGCACTTCAGGGAGAAACTTTGGGATTTTAGACTCTCCGTGCTTCGATCACTGTTGGCCAATGAATGCATTTCAAGAGCTGCAGCTAATGAGAGGAATCCCAGCCAAACTCTGCTGTTCTGGAGCTCTATAAAATGAAATCAGTCCAAATTCTTCTGCTTCCATCAGGATGGAAGGGGTACATATTTAGTGGACTACAACATTTTCTAACATTGGTTCAAAACCAATTCTTACTCATCCCATGAAAAGCCACGTCGGGGGGTGTAGCTCCAGCACATCCTGAGCCAGTCAAGTTACTTCGTATCTCTCAGGACTGATCTTCTGATGTTGGCTTTTCATCTGTTTTTGGCTTATTTCATTAGGAAAACAGCATCTTCCATAATGCTGTGAGATTCTAAAGGGGCCTTGCATCCATAAAATAAGAACAAGCTGAAATGATCACACTTTCAGAAAGATGGCTTTGGCAACCAGCAAAAGCTTCTGGACAACAAAACAAAAACTTCAGGTGCTTTTGGAGGCACAGAGATGAAAAAGAAATGTGCACATTTAGAGGTAAATTATGCTTTCCTGCAAGACAGGGCATAAAAGAAATGTGCACTTTTTGGCCCCAGCCATAAAGCTGCAGCTTGTTCCTTCTGCAATTGGCAGGGAAATCATCCCAGTGATACTCTACCAAAACTATCTACGTTACTCGCAAAATCCCTTCTCTCATCACTTCAGTGCTCCACTTACAGATGAAGGAGACCAATCAGTCCTTGTGCCTACTAAAGGGAATCCAGAGATTGGCAGCAAAGCACCTGCTGGTGTTTCTGGGATGAGGTCCCACCCTGGGTTTGGCCCATGAAATGGAGAATAGGGGTATGGAGAACTTGCAGTTCTCTCACTGCCATTGCCAGCAGCGATACAAAGGAACACGTGCATGATGGAGGATCCATCCATTTCATTTGCATTATAAAGAAAGAAATTCACAAAAACCCAACAACCCCAAACCATCGTTCTTGGCAGCTTTCAGCTGGCCTTGCTGCTCACATGTGGACGTCACAGGATCCTTACTGGTGACACAATTGCTTTCTGTAGGGCTCATCCATTGGAACATCTGGCTGCAGAACAAATTGCCACTTTTCTTCCTTCTTGCATCAAATACTGAAGGGTTTCTCTGTCACCCCCAGTCCTGCCCATCTGTTCCTTCAAGAACTTGCATTGGGGCCAAATGCAGAAAGGAGAAAAGCAATGCTTCGGTTTCGATCAATTCTTTGCCAAGATGGAAGCAAAGGTCAGAGCTGAATGGATATTCCCAACACAAAAAGAGGTGACAGCCCTTATTCTACCTGAATTAATTTTGATGCATCCAGAGGCCCAAAACAGCACAATCCCAGGCATTTTAAGGCATCCAAGGGCAAAAGGCTGAGATCCCTGCATGCTTTTCATAACTGACTGCTTTTCCCCCCAGACCTGTGCCAGATGTCAGCAGTGACAATTTGAAAGGATTGTGCTTGGCAGAGGCACAGCTACCCACACTTTCCCCACAAGAAGAACAAATGCATAGGAAAATCATTGAGAAAAGTACTCAGAGATGAGGATCCCATCTCAGCCCCCTCAGGAGGTGCATATTTGCTCATTCCTTACTCCTGGGTAGACCTTAGAGATGAGGATCTTCAAAATAGCAAGAGAAATTTTGGAGGATGTCTGTTCTCATTAATACAACTCAGCCTGCCCTGGGAGATGCCCAAGGAGATGGAATACAATGCTTTGGAGGGATCTGTAATAGGAAAAGTCCCCCCTCAGAAAATGGGATGGTTTTAGGTCTGCATTCAATGACAGGCTGACGACACATTGCAAATGACCTCCAAATCCATGTTTCAGGCTCTTTCCTCCAGACAAGTTCACAAAGTAGCCACTCCAACAAATGAGCAGTGTACCATGCCCAACAAAAGCTCCCAACCTGGACCTGCCACTCGGAAGGGGCACAGAAGGAACATCTGGGATATTGCTGTCTCGTGTTGCCCTGGTTTGTAGGACTGAATTGAGAAGCCTGAGAGCAGAAGCACTGATGAAAAAGCTGTTTGTTTTGCCGGCATTCACTTCAAACAGGCACAGACAAATTCATACAGGGCCAAGGCAAGATCTTCTTTTCAGCCTTTAAATGCAGTATTTTGGTGGAAAGGGATTTGAGCAGGGTTTTTGCATCACTCAGCCCAACCAGCTGTGTCCAACCATCCTCATCCCACGGTGCTTCTCCCACCTCCTCAACCTGCAGGCATAACTCCTGTGACAACTTTGCCATTTCAACATATATCTACGTACAGAGCCCTGCTGGAGCTTACACAAGATGCAGTTATGGGGTGTCTCACTTCCCATAAAACATCTCCACCTGTCAGAGACACTCTCACAAGCTTTAATTATTGAAGTTAGCATACAGGATTTGCCATGGGCTTTCCTTCCCAGGGCCTAGTGCATCCCCCAGATCCGGCTCGTTCAAGTGGGAAGCCAAAAAGTTGCCTATTGAATCAACTTTTTACAAGGGTGGACAGCGATAGGACAAGAGGGAATGGCTTTAAGCTCAAGGAGGGAACGTTTAGACTGAATATCAGTGGGAAGTTCTTCACACAGAGGTGAGGTGCTGGAACAGCTGCCCAGAGAGGCTGCGATGCCCCGTCCATCCCTGGAGGTGTTGGAGGCCAGGTTGGATGGGGCCCTGGGCAGCCTGGGCTGGTGTCAAATGTGGAGGTTGGTGGCCCTGCGTGCGGCAGGGGGTTGGAAATTGAAGATCCTTGAGGTCCCTTCCAGCCCAAGCCATTCTATGATTCTATTACTTATCCCACTACATTCAATATCTGTGTTTTCTTCCATCTCTGAGACAGTTTGCCAGGTGAAGGAGTTTTGTTTCCCAAGTTGTCAAAAAACCACAGGGAGTGTAAAAATACTGAAAAATGCACTTGACTTTCTCCAACACATCCTCACTAGAAATAAAAGAAAGGACAGGACATGAATTTCTAATTCCATCTTCAGGAGCTGACAGAGATCCTTAATCAACGCCCTGATTAGAGAAAATAATTATTTTTGCAGCTGATTTGCATGCCAGCCTTCCACTGATAACAAAATATATTAAATTTTCCCCTTCTTTCCATTAAAAAAATAAATAAAAAGGCCAACAACAATAGATTTAGATACAACTAGATTTAAGATACATGCAGGTATACAAGCAAGTTCTGTACAAGTTCAGAGCTGGCTGGTGTTCATCACTCCATCAGTATTGCAGTCATCCAAAGCAAAGTGCTGGGGGCCCAGGGGTCCATTGCCAGTGTTAAAGAGAGTAAATTATTCTCAGCAATATTGGCAGCATTTTTAGCCACAGCAGCTGAGGATATTCGCACTTTTTCTTGCCCAGCTCCTGGCTTTTTTCCTGAACTCTTCTCATGTTTCCTCTTACAGCAAAACTCACAAAACCTCTTTGTTATGAATGTGAAGCCCACACTGCTAAACCCAGAGGCAGCAAGCTGAGAACAGCAAGCCACTGCACAGGAGAGCAAAAGGAAAGGACAACAGCTGATCCCGATCCATGCTGAGATACAGCCAAGTCAGCTGAAGCTGCTGCTCTTTGTCAAATCACTCTCCAAACCAGATGTAAGGTCTGACAGTAGGTAGAAAGATGGGAACTCAGCATTTCAAACATCTCAGCACAATACAGCCCAGTGCTTTGCTGTTCACACTACACCAAAGCAGCAGAGCCCACCAAAACACAGCCATCCCAAGACACAATTCAAAATGGCAACACAATTTATGAGAAGCCAGTGCAGAAACCAGCGAGAAGATGGATTTTGCTGAACTAGAGGAGCTTTCTGAGCCTTGGCTGCCTTACCTTCCTGATGCAGCACGTGTAGGGCACGCCGCACGCAAGCGGTCCGCTGCCGTTGCAGGAGTGGTACAGATTGACCTCCCAGTCCCTGTATTCATCACCACCACAGCAAGAAAACTGCAAAGGAAGGAAAGGAAGGGATAAGGCAGGCAGATGAACAAAGCGTGACGTTTCCAGTCCACCCGTGCATCTCCCTCCAGCCTTGCATTGCAGCTCTGGTGTTGCTGGTATGAAGAGATCCCCAGTTACTTCTTGCTTTCAAGAACTCCAAGCGGGAAGGGTAAAAACCAGCCAACCAAACAAAAAAAGTGGGTGTTCAGCAGCATTTTAGAGACATGCAGCAGTTAGAGCACTGTGCATACATGTGTTGGAGGCATCACAGCTTTCACAAGCCCAGGAAAGATGAGGCTCATTCATGCTTTGCTCCAGCTGATTTAATTACAGGTGACTAATCCATCCTATTCCCAGGGCATGCAAGAGAGATGCTCTTTCAGTGCCATGAATGAATGCTCAACTAGTCGGTGCTATTTGGCAATATGCTGATAAAACTCCAGTGTCTAACAGCCGTTTCTCTTCCCGTCAGGTTAAATTAGAGATCAAATGCTGCAGCTACGAACGAAAAAAGCTTCTTTTTCTTCTGTTTGGGCAATAATATTAATAATAATAAAAGTTTAATGAATGTCATATTCCGCTCTCCACGGAATAAAAGTGGGCTTAATATATCCTGAGTCATCCTTTCTTTCGGTAAACAAGCTTCAATCTTAACAATTTTCCCCCTCAAAAGAAAAGCCTGGAGTGGGCTGGGGAGGGAGGAGGTGTTTGTTTGTGTTTGTGTGTGTGTGTGTTTGTGTGTGTGTTTGTGTGTTT